GAGAGAGAGGATGAAGGCGCTACTATAAGAGTTGCAATAAATGTTCAATTTTCGAAATTTTCAACTTTTGAAAATTTATAAAATTTATAAAAACCTTTAAAAATTTATAAAAATTTGTAAAACAAAAAGATATGTTTTTTTTTTTCACCATCAAAAAATTATGTGTAAAATACATAATTGTATAAAAGTTTTCCTAGGAATCAAAATATGAAATCATAATGGAAAATATTTTCTTTCAAATATGGTAAAATACCATGAAAAAACATCTTGTACATTGTTCAAAATCAACAACTACAACTAATTAGGCATATTAATTATTTCCATTAATAAAATAGATTTCTTAAAAAAAACAAAAAAAAATTGATAGATCGATACTTTCTTCATTCGAAAATTACAAATATTTGAAGAAATTATTTGTAGAATAAAATATAATTAGTTTAAAAAAATAATTCCTTTATTCAAGCAGAAAAATGGTTCACGTTTTTTTTTTTTCATCTAAAACCAGTTACCGGTTGAATTTGATGTTCCTGTCCATGGAATAATCCTTTGATACTATGAATTGCAGCACGTCGAAAATCACCTTGACGAAATACGAAAAACATTATCACATTAAGTGAATTTAAGAAAGGTAAATATACGGAAACAATTACAATGGTTCGTGATTTTGTAGTTTCATCCAATATATAAATATATTGCACTATTGATGGTATCACAACAAGAACTATAAAATGAGGAAAATTTTAAATTAAGAAATGAATAAAAATGTATGTAAAACAGTTAGCTACAAACAGAATTTACTATTTAAATACTAAATAATTAGGAATAATTTAGTCATACATAGAAGAAATACTAAATAAGACTTTATTTTTGCAGAATTTATTTGTTGTCTAATTTTCTATCATAAATCTCAAAAACTATCATCGTTCTTCCTACTGTAAAAGAATTTGCTTGATGTCTAATTTTCTATCTTAAATCTCAAGAACTATCGTTCTTACTGTAAAAGAATTTGCTTAATGTTTAATTTCCTATCTTAAATCTCAAAAACTATCATCGCTTCGTCCCTACATGTAAAAACATTGCCATCATCGGAATTGTTTATAAAAATTTATGTGCCAAAAACATACAAATTGTAAAACAACAAGAGATCAATGCCGTTTGAGTGTATCGTTTTTGTTTTTTGAGAAAATTTGACAAATCACGATTAGGTGAATGACTTGATAGAAACTGTGCTCCGAATTTCCTGAAAGAAATAATGATATGATTAAAATTTCATTTATATTTTAAATTCAAAATTGTCAACATTCCATCTGTCATGAAAGGAGTAAAAAAAAAAAAATGATAATTAATAGAATAGATCGTTATATGTTTGTTTATGGTACAATTTTATTTTGTGTATTAATTCTTGTTGGAAAATGATAGAAATTACTGTTGACATGTCATCCTACTAAACAGTTTCAATATTAAGCAATTGAATATATTCCTGTTGTAGGATTTTGAAAGTATTTTTTAAACTTCATATATTTATGATAAATGATTTGTTTGGCTAAATTTATTCAATGAAAATATTGTTATGACAAATTTTCTTAAATTCATACTTTCTCAAAATGATCACCACAATGATCATAAAAGCAACACTCATCAATGAAGCAATACATCCCAATAGTAGTAAAGCTTTATAAAAGTAAGGTGAATATATGGCTTGTAATCTGGAACACAGTTATCTTTTTAGTTCGATTTTAAAAATAAAAAAAAAAATTCAAGTTTTATTTTGAAAAATATCAGATTACAAGTAGCTCCAGTCGATTTACAAAAAAAAAACAGTGTTAGAGCTAAAATAACTGTTTTATTTAAAATAATAAATTTACTTATATGTTACTTACAAGCAAAAATTAGATATAGTTCTAGCTGGTTCAATGTATGTTGCAACGGCAGTTATAGTTATTACAATGATTGTTGTTAAATATTGTATGATAATTAATGAATAGCTTATTCGTGTATTATGAGTAAAGTAATATATTGGGAATGCTATAACAGAAAATCTTTCCACGCTATTCATAAATAAACTCATTCCATTCAGAAAATATGCTGTAATCAGAAGGATAGGCACCTGAAATTTTATTTTGTTAAATTTAAACAAAATTTTTATAAGCCATCATAATCGTTTTTATTCTTTAAGAAAATAAAATATGCTTTTAGAGAGTGAATAATCTCCTCCAATTGTATGGCAATAGGCTTCAATATCTTAATAGGTTTTAAATGCATACAGTAGAGGAAATGATTACAGAATCCATTAATTAAAAACATTAACTGAAAAAAAAAGGAAGAAACGCATTAATTAGAAAAGAATCCATCAATTAAAAAAAGAACCCATTAATTAAAGAAAAAAAAGAAATCTAAAAAGAATCAGAATTCACAAATTAAAAAAGAATCTATTAAGATTTTATATCGTTTTTCTTTCTGTTTTTTTTTTTCTTTTTTGTTTTTCTGTTTAAAGTTTATAATTAAAAAAATAATTTCAGGAATTTTTTCCAAAATAATAAACTAACATTCATTGCGCAATAATGATGATTGATATCCCATTCTCCAACACTGGTATCAATTAATCTTTTCATTCCCAGTAATATTGCACCAATTCCAGTAAATCCATTGTTGAAAGATATAACACCAAGAATTAAATACGAATCCCTAAATTAATGATTGATTCCTAATCTTTTCTTGATTAATGGGTCATTTTAGCTTCTCCATTTGCAGCAAGGATCATGTTAATAATAAATTCCATTAATTTAAAAATAAACTTCGATCAAAACATTGAACGTATTAGCTTATCAAACATTGATAAGAACAATCTCATCTTGTTTTTCCTACTTACTTATCCGTGCCGCTGCTCTAGTGTCAAATATTTTAATCCTCGTCGATCATCCAGATCACTTGTTTGGAAACATTATTTTAAATACTTAAATTTGTCCACATGATATTCTCTCCCTTCCCCCGCTCTTTGAAATTTCGTCCATGAAACTGTTTACTAAACTATATTCGATGATTATTTTTTTTTTTTTTACAGTATTATGAGATAAATGGATTGATGACCTGAGTGCTTTATTCGTTATCACAAGTAGAAAGACGGGAATGTTGATTAAAGTGAGCACTGTACCAATAGCCAAATAAGCATAGGTACGTAAAATATAATTTATTGGTGATAATGCTACACCACCTTTTAGTACAGTGATATTATTCACAGCTTTAGTTGCAACTTCGGTAATACCAGTAAGATCCATAGACATGAAAAGATAAGATGGAATAAACTATCATTAAAATAATTAAATGAATTAGGAAAAAAAAAAACTGTTCAATTCTATTATATGTGACATTTTTCTGTAAGATAAATAATATCCACTGAATAATTATGATAAAAGTTAAAATTTTTTTTTTTATAAATTTAATAAAATTGTTGACATTCCTTTTCTCAAAATTTCTGTTTATGCGAAATTTTCGAAAATTCTGAAATTACCAAATAGCATTAAATTTATTTTGATATGAAAAAAAAATTTTTTTTTTTGATATCAAAATGATTGAAGTGTGAGGAGTAATACTGTTAATTATAGCAAATATTAAAAATTATATAAAATTTGGTTGAAAAAAAAATGGACAATATTTATTGTAAATTTAAAAATATTTATAGGATATTCATTAACATCATGCATAGAAATAAAGGAACAAATAATATTCTTGTTGACAATTAACATCACCATATTGTTGTATATGTTCATCATTTTACATGTACGCTTCACAAATATGTCAATTCTTGTTAATTGCGAAACGATTCAGATGCTTCCCCATTCAAGAAGATGGATTATCCTGAGTACCAAAATCATTTTATAGATCTACATGAACTGGGCCTATTATTTGAAATATGGAGAGAATAATTGGATTTTTTTTTCCTTACTAATATTGCAATTAAATTTGTCCTATTGATATTGTAATAATTTTTGGCCTCATTATTGTATTAATCAACTTATCGGAGTAAAGATTTAATTATTCAAGTTTAAAGTTCTATTATCTAAGTGTGAGAAGTAAAGAAAATACATCAATTGACAAGATGAAACAGAACTCAAAGAGGTAAAATTAATCCTACTTTTATCATGATCAAAAAAGCAATCGTCCATAATTGGTACCATGCGTTTGGGGAATGAAAGACAGAAATGATAAAAAGTGTAAGAATTTATTGGTTAATCAAGAAATATTAGATTGTTAGAAGGGATAGTTACCTCTAAAAGATAATTAATTCAATATGAAGAAGGATGGAAAGTTCGTGTCATTTTTTTTTTTTTTCAGAGAGAAAAATAAATTTACCTCAAAAACTAGACTGGTCTTGAGAAAGACAGAAAATATTCGTGCAGAGAGATTAAGAAAAGAATTAAGTGATGAAAATAAGTTGATATTGTTTGAAAGAAGAAAGGTACTCATGAATGGGATATATAAAAGTATATATTAAAAAATAAAAAAAAAAATACGTTGAAGAAATCATCTTCAAAGCAAATTCACTTAGAAAAGGAAATGGGAAGAAGCATTATGATTTGTTAAAACAAAAACGAGGATTATGAGATCGATTTAGATGAATCCTAATTTGGACGCGGAAGAATGCTTATTTAGCAATTGTCACAAAATGCGCCATTTATGAGATTTTTTAATAGAAGGGATAGATGAGATGTGTTTATTACGCTAGAAAGAACGAATAAATGGAGAGGATTAAACATAAGATGAAATCAAATAGTAAACAGAGGAATGACTTTAACTGAATTAGTCGAGAAATTGGTGACAAATGAGTAGATGTCCAGAAATAACAGTAGAATTTGATGGAAATCCAAAAATTGTTGGGTTTGTTTATAAAGCAATTTGAAGAGACAATTGATAGAAGGAATGTCTTCCTTGTAGAGCTATAAAAAAAAAAGAAAAAATTGTGTCAATTTTTCGGAGCGATACGATAGCAAGCAAAAATGAATAATGAAATTATACAATACGTTACAGGAAGAAAAAGAAGAAATATGATTGTATTAACGAAACTTAATGAACGTTCTCTTCCAATTAAAGAATTAGGGAATAATATAATAACAAATTAGCTACGGATTAGCATAACTGGAAAGTTACCGGATTATTCCTAAGTAATCTGGTAAAAGAGAAATTAGGGAAACCTGAATGGTGACAGAAGATACAATAATATTCTTGAAAAAATATATAAATGTTACAGAATTCCTAAAAATCATAGGGAAAAAGTGTGCAATAAGTTGGATAACGAAGCCTTCTGTAGGATTTAGATCAATAAAAATACCGAAATGAAATTTAAAAACATCATAGGTATCATAAGTACAATGTTGAGATAGCAGAAAAGAGTGCATGCAAAAGTACTGATAGATTGCTATGGTGGATTGGGCCAAATTAGCTAAATTAAATGACTGCTATGGTGGAATGGGCCAAATTAGCTAAATTGGATGACATACTCACAGGTAAAGTAGCCAAGAAAAATTGTTAGTGAAGAAACTCGAGATGAGATTTGTATAGCACTAGGATTGATGACTAACACGGAAATATTATCTGCGACGAAGACGACAATCACGGATAAAAAAGATTTCCATCGTTATAGAAATTAACCCGGACCATTTTATTTTTCATGAAAATTGCGGCAAAATTATCTGGAGGAAAATTGAAAAGTGCGACAGAGTTTATGAAAGATGAGATTGCTCATCTCTGCTAACTAAGAACAAGCAAAAAGCTGATAGTGAGAATGATCCGGTCCGAAGTATCTCAGGGCGTTATTAAAAAGTGGGGGTTGAAGCATGAATTGATGGCCTTCAGATGAGCCTCAGATGATTTCGATCAAAAGTAACGGATTACGCCTATTTTTGCCTGTAGAGTTGCAGAGTTGATCGTAAAGCAGTACTGCTAAAGGGTGTTTCACTCCGTCAATATAACTTGAATCGAAATCCAGCGGACGTACCGGATACCACATGGAAGAGCAAATTAAGTCCATTCTTAGAAAGCTCTATGAAAATTGTAATAGGTGGAACGCCAAATTCTTTGAATAGCCAGAATTTCCATCTTATCCACCAAAAAGGATGGCGGTGAGCAGAACCTTTAGGAGAATCAGAATAGATCTTCTTGGTCTTATGTTGGTGAAGGGTCAACGGAACGATAACAAAGCGCTGGGGTGATTCTATTCACGTACCCAGTCACAAGAACTATTCACGTAGAAGCTATGAAAAGCATGTTTGCTGAGATTTTCATGCAGGCGTTTAGGAGATTTGTTAGCTGAAAGCGATGTTTAAATTTTGTTTTTAACAACGTAAAGAATTTCATGACTTTATTGTAGCTTCCAAATTAGTATAAGAAAGTAGCAAGCAAGAATAAAAGCAACTGAAATGGCAATTCATTACCCCAGGAGTTCTATAGGAAGATGGTATTTATGAAAGGATGATTGTAATAAAGATAATTTAACAGAGAGCAGGAAGGATCTCATGGAAGAGGGAAAATTCATCACTATGATAACCGAGATTGAATTCTCGATAAATGAAAGACCATTGATAGACTATAAAAAATGAAGTGATAATATTATATACAGGGAATTTCTTGTAGCCTGATTGTAAAGATGTGGAGAATTCGCTGCAATATAAGAATAATTTACAGGAGAATGACAAACCGAAGATTTCGAATATGATATAAGACCGATCCGCATTGAAGAACCGGTACTAGGATACGCTGAGAAAGTTATGTAAAATATGGAAAGAAGAGTATTTAGAAGAATTAAGAAATAGAAAGCGAAAAATTGCATAAAACCTTCGTATACGATCTATGCCAATCAATGATAATGAAAGGATATTTATTGAAAGGAGAAAGCCTTAGAAATTCTTGGAAAATGAATAGAGTGGAAAAACTGATCTAGGGTAAGGATGAGTATTATTGGTCTACTGTCATGTGCATGTTGAATGGCATCCGGTTCAACCATGCTGTGGGACCCATCTATAGAATATCTCTGGCTCTGAAATTCCAGACTCAATATTTTTTCTCGCCTTTCGAGTATCGCTGATATCGTAAATGGACATTAAGGAACGGAAATACAGTTTATTGAAAATTGGCGTCGTTGTGTTGTATGTATCATTTTACCCTGTGTAACTAACAAAGAGCGCAACACCAATATCTTCACAAAGACGTAATTCTTATAATCTTAATACGGTACCAGTGGCCCCCATCTATTGCAAGAAAACGGTACCCGGGAAAACCGAAACGATTGTTTTATGGGATTATTTGATTTTAAATCAAGTAATTCAATGTAAATATCTTATCATTTTTTTTCTGGTTATTCACATCTCTTTTCCTTGGAGAGTTCAGACCTTATCGATATTTGACAATCTTCCGCGCCTCAACCTCAATTCACATTCGTTTGAATTCTTACTTTTGATTTTGGATAAAGTTTGTATTAACTGTGACCGATTACTATAACGATCACCGTCATCTTTCATTACGGTTACCATCAACGTCATCTTTTATTACGGTCACCATCACCGTCATCTTTTATAACGGACTATTTTCCTTTCTAGGATTCAAAGTCGTCCGTACCACTGCTCTTTTCAAATATTCTATTCGTTCATTTTTTGCTTTTCTTCGACAAGCAGTGGATCCTGATCACCAAAATCATTTTGCAGTACATATGAACTGGATTTGTTTGTTGAAATATCGAGCATAATTGAATCTTTTTTTCTTCTTATTGATATTATCATTAAATCTGTCTTAGTGATATTTTGAGTCCGTTACTGTATCAACCAACTTATTGGGAAAAAAATGATTTAATTACAAAAATTCGAAGTTCTATTATCTGAAAGTGAAAAGCAAAGAAAACTAAAGAAATCGACTGGAAGAAACAAAAAATCAATATTCTTATTCTTTGCTATGATCAAAAAGACAAGAACACTAAATTCGAAAACACTAAATTCGCTCATTTTCACAAAGTCATAAAACGTTGGAATTTTAAATAATATTGCCTATACAAAAATGAAAAAAAAAAAAAAAACCTGATTTAAATTCTGCGATCTCCAGATTCATGTTTGATGATCGTAGATTCAAGTATTTGAATAGTATTATATTCAAAGAAGGTTACTTGCAAATTTTCGAGAACAAAAACTAGACATGATGATGATTTATAATGCTAGAATTTTGGAATTCAGTAAAATTTATTATTTTTCAAAATCACTTATTTTCTCAAATTATTAATGGATAATTTGCATGTCAAATGATGAATATTTTCAATTGGACTCAAAAAAAAAAGAAAAAAAAAACTAACCATGGCTGTATTAGTTACTTAGCAAAAAAAAAGTATGAATGCTCCTTGGAGGTCTGTTAGCAATTCATTCATCCTTTTATATGCCATTCAAATCTTATCATGTTTATATCTAAATTACAATATGCATTAAAACATGCCAAGTTTATGTCGTTTTAAATTTAAAACTAATAATAATATTTACGCATATTAATGTCGCACGAACTGTTTATATGAATAAAATCTCAAATGAAAGCCATAAAATTTTCTTATTTAAACTGAATTTTTTGTGTCATTTTTTTCCACTTAAAAAAAATTACTTTAAAAGGATGAAAAAAAAGAGCAAAGCACACTTCATTTATTGCATCTTTCTTTACTTATCATTATTTGAATACTACAAATTTTTGTGAGAAATATTTTTTCTAGTAAGCGATAATTTTATAGCTATCAAAATACATAATCTGTACAATGAAATTATAATAATTCACAAAGATGCTGTTGTCAAAGCTTGATTATCTGAGTTGAATAGTTTCAGCAACAATATATTTGATACTTATTTGTGTAGGAGAGTGACCAAAGAACTTCTTTATTGACAGGATAATATGCAGATCTATTTAAACAATAATACTGACCAAGCCAATTGACTTTAAATTTGATAATAAATGGACAGTTGGATTAAGAGCAGAGATACCAGGAAATTCCCTGTTAATAACGTTGATGTGGCGTCCAATCAAAAAAAGAAAATAAAAAAACCTTCTTTATTTTTGGATAGGCTTATGCATGTTAAGAAACGAGAGGCAGTGATATTTTAAGCAATTGCTAACAAAGGCATTTCTAAACAAAGGCATATGCTTAGACATAAAGGAAAAAACATGGGAATTAAAACGGGAAATAAATCTAAGGAATGTAAATTTAAACAAATATGTGAGATAAATGGTAAACCATGAATCATGGAAAACATTCCTAATTTTATTTATATAATTATAAAATTTATTTTAGTTTTTCGCGACTTTCGCGACAGATGCAGTAATACAATAAGTATAAAATACCGGAGAAAAGTTCGTTTCTTATTTTCGGTTAAATTGAAAGAGAAGTTAAAAAAATTGAAAAAAAACATAGCTGAAAATTGCAATAACAAATGTTTCGGGCTATGCAATTGCAGAATTTATTTAAATGTATGGATGGGATACATTCGAATATATGTTAAAATTATTATGCGACATTTATAAGAGTTTCTTATTAGTATCTGAAAAAAAAAATTTAATGTTCAGCAAACATTTGCATATCATATGTTGCATATCATATCATATGTTATCATGTTCTTTATCATACTATAACCGTATTGCATGACCTATTCACGTGTGCTTAGTTAATTACATTCGGGCATTAAATCTGATTTGTGAGCTAAAATGTATGAATTTTTGCAAGCATGAACAGTGGTAGCTACCTTTATCAGAAAAATGAATATGATAAAATCTGCAAATAATTTATCTTATTCATCCTACACTCAAGTTTAGCTGCCATCTGATCGAGTTTAACAGGACCCGAAAATAGTTACAAATATGAGGTGAATATGCAAATTAATCAAAATGAAAGGATTAATTAGAAATTAGAATTAAACAAAATTAATTTAAGAATTAAATGGAATTAATTTCATACCCTGGAAACCCTTCTAGGATAATGAGTTTATAATTTGTATGCTTATTTATTAAGAAATCCATTAAATGTTATTTGGTTTCAAAGGCATTACTAATTTCCATTTCCCTTAATTGATTTAAACAATTTAATATTTTTGTTTCCATTATTAAATTATTAAAGTGTTTCGATACATTTAAGGTATTTCGACACATATTTCCAACACCTTCCAACACCATTATTAAAGTATTTCGATGCAATGCAAATTATAATGATATTTCGCCATAACTAATATTCGATTTAATCTACTTCAGTGAGGCTGTATAATACTACTAAAGTCAGCCAAAGCTCATCAATATTATTATTGTCCAAAAATAAGAAGTTAAACTCATTTTCGGAAATTGTACCTTTGTTCTACGCATTCTGCATGGATGGTACATTTCTGCATGGGTTACTGCATGAATAACATATGTATAGCGTTTTTCCGCACACGGATGTGTTTCCGCATAGTTGCTTCTCATTCTTGGACGAATAGATTGAAGGATGAATTGATTTTTCTTTGATTGTTAGAATTTCATTTAAATCCTTTTCCAAATATATAGTTAGTTCCATTTAACAACTTAACATGTCTTGATTTTAGACAACTATAACTGGATGATAATATCCAGACTAAAAAAAAAAAAAAAAAAAACTAGCTAAAAGATGATTGTTAATTCAATGTTTCCCAAACATTTATTTGGGATCAATCTAAAGATTTCAAACTCCTTTAAAAAAATTCATGTTTACAGTACACGAAATATTCAATAATTCTCATTTCACACAAATTTATCATCATATCATCATTATCATTACAATCATTAGATTGTTAATATTTTACAGGACACTTTATATTCCATAAAATCAAAAAATGCGAAATAATCAACAACAATTACGGAAATGTTATTGTCATAATGCCAATGAACTATCCAAAAAATTAATTAAAAAAAAAAATAGTTATGTGAGCTGAGTTAGATTAGTCAATGGATAAACAGACACTCTTGGTGGTTGTTGTGGGAAATACTTGTCTAGTTTGAGCATCACAAAGATTCGACGTCGAATGAAAGTATGAGCCATACCAAAAATGAACGCATGGGATAGTCCGCTGATTGATGCGCATAACTGAATGAAAAATGCCAATGCTTTGATGAACTGAAATAATCAAAACAATATTAAAAGTATTTTCCATCTGATTTTTATTAAATCCTATTAAAAGACAATTAAACACAAATCATCGTCTCATCATTTCTCATTAATTTGATGCTTATCAAATAAAACAGTTGTCTGATTACCTATAAATATGGTGAAACGTTTTTTTTTTTTTTATTTTCTATATGTCACATATTCTTTTAACGACAACTAAATGAAAGCTAATCAGACAATTCTTTGATTTATAGTTTTGTAAATTAAAAATTCGAAAACTTAATTCAGACTCAATTCTTTGTGCACAACCGTTTATTCCCCCCGGCACAACACCAAATACTGCTGATACGATAAGAACATAAAATGATGCTCGGCTTGCCTGTAATATTTGAATTATAGCATACACTTGAATGACTATAAGGAATGCTTGGAAACTTTTCAAATAGAATTCGGATAATTTGGAGAATTGATTTGCATACATCTCATCAGTTATTTTCCAAAACCTTCAAAATTACCCATTTATCCTCTTTTTTTCGGACAATAGTATTATTGCCGATTGCATTTCGCATTTTCCTCGTTTTGAGCAACAGTGCAACGACGATTGTCAATAAACACGATAGTAAATTGACAACCATATTGGACATTCCCCAATAGGTGCGAAATGACTAAAATGTCATGAATTACACTATTTGATAGTAAATTATTAGATATTATTTTATAGGAATTGTTCAAAATTTTTTCTTTTGGGCGTTCCCGAAATAAAATATGATGAACTGTTAGCTTACATCGTCTTTGCATCACTTAGTTCAAACAAAAACTTTAAACAGTGATAAAGTGATATATATATATATATATATATACCACGTAAACATCACAAGTGTTACTTGAAGTTATTTGATACCTCAGAAGTAAAACAGGCAAAATTGCTGCAGCCGGGTATCGGTTTTATACCATTTGATAAAACAAATATCAACGAAAAATCGAATCCTGCCATCAAAAGCGAAAATACGAAGCCACCAAATAAGAGACTGAAAATTTGCGAATTTCCTCACGGAACATTGAAAATAACTGTTGAAGTATTAGAAAATATTTGATATCGTACTGATTTTTAAGGGAATGAATAACTTTTGTTCCGAAATTATTAATTTAAGGAATTCGAAAACTTTTGCCTGATCGTTTTACGTACGGCATCTTTGTCATTACTGATAACTCAGAAGAATGCGACTGATTGCATTGTAACATTCTCGAAGGTATATTATATTCCATATATTATGAATACAGAATCATTATAGACGTACGGTCTTTTTTTCAATGAATAATACTTCATAGGAGCCGAAAGAGCCCAAATTCGATCTAATGCGATCAAAGTAGTTATCGTACAACCACTCTTCATAAGTGCAGCTGGAGTGGAACCAAAACCGAGTACGATATATTCGTTATAGTGGTACTCTTTGCCTAAAAAATCTTTTTACAACATTAAAAGGATAGAATTCCTGCAATTCATTT